CACACACACACACACACACACACACACACCTTCACTTTCTCTCCACCGTCCCTCGATCCCGTCGAGCTGCGCTGAATGCTCTCTTTTCTTTTGACCTTCGGCTCGTCTCCGAGCTGAGGAATGCCAGTAATGTATAGACCCCTGCTGTCAAAGCACACACACACACACACACACACACACACACACTCTCTCATCAAACCGAGCAGGAACAACAACACGTCTCTGTCTCTGAGGAGCGTTTGCCGCGTCCTCTCCCACACATGCTCGCCATGACGTGTCAGAAGCAGGAAGTCTCTTCCTGTCAGATTTAAGAGCGGTTCACACGGTCGTCTCACAGATAAATGCGACGGTGTGTCGTCTGCATAGCTGTGCGACTGCACAGTGTCTCTGCCGGAGCGGCTCGGGTTTGTGAAGCAAACGCTGCCTTGCACGTTTCCTCGTTTCCTTGTTTGGAATCCTTTTTCCTGGTTCCTTCAGGTCATTTCGTAGCTTTGTTTCACGCGTCCTCGTACGAGGAGATCAAAGTGAGATGATGTCACGTTTATGCTGCCACCTGCTGACTCTCACACTCCGGGTTTGTGTGCTTGATGGAGGCGTGTGCGTGTGTGCGCCGCCGTCAGCTGTCGCAGGCTTTGTTTCCTTCACCGGAGCGACAGACGCTCCATTCAGAGGGAACGCCAACTGCTCCAGCTGCAGCCAGCTGTTCACACTCGCTGCTGTCATCGCCGAGGCTGCTCAGCGTGCAGAGAGCTCTCGCTTTTATTAAAATGTTTCAGGTTGGCGTGGAATCAAACTGGCGTGTGTGGTGGCGGGCGGAGGCTGGAGGCGTGCGTGAGCCTGCGAGGGTTGAGATGAGTCGCCAGGAGTGATTCCCGCCGCGTACTTGCGCGCTGACATGCAGATGTTTGGTCTCTCTGAATAATTAAAGTGGAATGTGGCCGAAGGCTGACGCACGGGGGCGCGTCTTTCGTTACTCGCTTAAGGATCGCCGCCCCAGGCGTGTCGGCGCTGACGTGATGTGACGTGATGGATGCTCCGGCGTGATTCATGGGTAAAATAGTCAGAGCAGGATCCACATCTGGCCACAAACAGCTGGTTCCAAACCATTTCATTGCTTCCTTTTCAGCAGACGCTGACCCCGGATCAGTTTCGTCTCTCGTTAAGAAAACGTTTTTAGTTTCTTTCAGATTTTTCTGCATCTGTTCTTTGACTCATTAAATCAAAGTTGTTTCCTGCTGCTCTGCTTTCTCCTGCAGTCGCGTCGTCGCAGTGCTGCGAGCGTCTGCAGAAGGAGAAGCAGGAGGCGCGCGTCGGCTTCGAGGAAGCGCTGACGAGGTTGCGGGAGCAGCACCGGGAGGAGCTGGCACAGCTGGAGGAAAGGTAGGACGGACGCTCTCCTCATGTCCAGGAGCCTTCTCCTCCTGCACGCCGTTCAGACTGACCCTGTTTCACGCTCCTCTCTGCGACAGGCTGACCAGTTTTTACCAAACGGAGTGGGACAAGGTCCACCAGACGTACCAGGAGGAGGCGGACAAATGCCGCGTCCTGATGGAGAAGCAGGTCTGAGCACAAACGCACGAGCAGACGCTCAACCAGCTTTTATTGTGAAAGGATCACGGCCTCGAGCGTGACTGAGACGGTGCTCGTCACGTACGCGGCGTGACCTTTAATAGGTCACCGATTTACTGCTGCGGTTGGGCCGAGACACTCTGATTGGCTCGTAGGAGCGCCATGTGACTCCCTGAGCTCTGAACCTGAGCTCGCTCTCTGATTGGATCCAGCGACAGGAAAAACGTCCAGCAGTGCTCTCGTCTCCGTGCTGCAGACGCTCAGATTGAAGAATCACTCACACCTGATGGAGGAGACGAGGAGGCAGGGAGGGGTGGTGACGGCGTGAGGAGAAAGTGTAGGAAAGAAAGCAAAGGAGGAAGGAAGGAGTGGAAGCAGGAGGAGGAGATGTGGGAGGGGCCAGAGATTCAAATGAAAACATGTAAACAAACAAACACATTTGTAAACAGCGACGTCTCTGATTCTTTGTTTGTTCTGGACGTTTTTAATCTTTTTTATTTTCACTGCATGATAAATGTTGGAGTTCTGATCAGCGCCGCCTCTGACGTCCTGGTTACTTCGTGCAGGTGGAGGAGCTGAGGAGCCAACAGGAAGTGGAGAGGAAGAAACAGGAAGTGAGTCACAGCCAGAAGATGGAGTCTCTGAAACAGCAGTACAAGGCCTCAATAGAAGGTGTGTGTGCACGATACAGACACACACACACACACTCAGACACACTCACACACACACACTCACACACACTCACACACACACACACTCACACTCAGACACACTCA